ATCATGAGAGAATTGTTACTTAAATATAGGTTGCTAGGGCTAGGTGTGGTGGCTCAAGCCTGTAATTCCAGAACTTCGGGAGGCCGAGACGGGAGGATTGCTTGAGGCCGGGAGTTTGAGACTAGCCTGGACAACATAGCGAGACCCTGTCTTTACAAAAAATAAGAAAAATTAGCCAGGCATGGTGGCCCATGCCTGTAGTCCCAGCTACTCAGGAAGCTGAGGCAGGAGGATCACTTGAGTCTAGGAGTTCAAGGCTGCAGTGAGCTATGATCATGCCATGGCACTGCAGCCTGGGCAACAGAGTCAGAGCCTCTCTAAAAATAAATAGAGAGATAGATGATCATAGGCTGCTTTTAATAGACAAAACCTTTCAAAAGAGGGAGGGGAGGGCAGATGGTAAAAAACATCTGGAAAAGGTATCTTGTGGTGAAAAAGAATCAGAAGTGATTGCAGCAGATTATTAGCAAAGTACTAGGGATGCCCATTGTAGGATATTTAGCGTTCTATAAAGTGGCATGAATATAATGGATTCTTTGTATATACTTGCTGAATGAACAATTTTTATAAAATCTCATCTTTCCTAAAAGTGCCACAGCATTTTTATTTTCAAATTTGAAATGAATTTAGTATGTTTTGCTTTGAGAATATTTTAAAATTTAAAAAAAATGTTTAACACATGCTTATTGTATCAAATAATGCAGAAGTATAAAAAGCAAAAACTAGAAGCCCTCCGTGGGGTCCCACTCCCCAGAGGTAACCACTGTTGACAGTTTGGTATAGGCCCTTTCAGCTGTTTTTTATGTTGTGTGTCTGTGTGGGGTATGTGTGCGTGTGTGTTATTTGGAAAAGTTACACAAAAATAGGGTTATAAAGATAATATTGTTCTGAGATTTGCTTTTTTCCCCAACTTAGTTTTAGTAATAGATGAGGAACATCTTTCCATATTAGTAAATGTTGCTGTAATTCATTATTTTTAAGGTATTCACCTGTATATATCATAATTATTTAATCATTCTAATGACAATTTCCCAAATTTTCACTTAAAAATAATGTGGACATACACATTTCTATACATATTTTTGTACCTTTCTGGTCACAGTAGTGCTACTGAAGCACAAATTCTTAGGAGGAGAGTTGTGGTGGCATCAGTCTGGCTGTGAACCACAGTGGAAGATCTTGTCTTTGTCATGTCTTTTAAGCCTGAAGACCTTCTTTGACTTCCTGGCCCCGAAGGTGTCTGGTGGGCACATATGGGAAGATGAGATCCTTAATTCCTTTTCTGCCTGCCCAGTCTTATCTCCTTCTAAAGTCTATAACTGCTTAAGTTATAACAGAAGCAGTTGGCTTTTCAAGTACGGAAGGATCCCAATTATGGGATTGTCCATCAACTTAGATTGCAGGCTGCAGGCTACTACCTTTAGCTAAGCTGTTTTTTCTTCCACCTCTTTGTGCTGACTGCTTATCTCTGACCTGAGTTACCCTCCCCCACCCCAGACTTTGCTCGAAGCTGCAAAAAGCAGCAGACAGACACCGATATCTAAGTTTTCCCAAGCATTTCCTTTATGTCTCCACCTGCCACTGCCATGACCAGCGGCCTCCACTACAGTGCCACATTTTATATCCTGTTATTGTAGCACACCGCTGAGGAGGCCACAGGGAGAGAGGCTGACGTGTGCTGGAGGGGTCCTCCCAGACGAGCTAAGTCTCCCCAGCCTCTGACTCAAATTAGCAGGGTCCCCTCCCCCAGTTCACGTCACCCTTGCCCATTGAGGGCCAGAAGTGCAACTTAGAACACCACCTCTGAGGACTGGAGGGCACAGTTGCCTCCCCTCTTGGGAAGTCACGCATTAGGACATAGGCCTTCCTCTGCCTGGGACTAGCAGTCCTTTAAAATGTCTACCGACTGGTAGGTAAGAAAGGTATCACATTCTTATTGGTGAGAGGAATGGCCTTTCCTGTTTATTTGCCATTTGTGTTTATTCTGCGAATTGCCTATTCATACCCAATTCCCTTTTTTCTGTTGTATTGTCTTTTTCTGCTTGAAAGTCCTCTTTATATACCCATCTGTTCTTTGAGTTACAAATGTTTTTGTCCATTCTATCATTTGTCTTTCAAATGCCTTTCAAATTATGGAAGTTCAAATGTTTACCTGAATTTAAATCCGGCAATCTGGAAAGATTTTGTTGATGCTCAATAATCATTAGAAAAAACCCTGGGTGGTTTTAAACTTTGAGAGTTGTCGAAGCACATTAATCTTAAAAAGATTGTCATCTAAAAACTTGGATTTGCCACAGACCCACTCATTCATTGACTCAACACACATTTGCTGCCTTGCCTTGCCGAGGCCCTGGGGACTCTGAGGAGGGCGCGCCACTCCATGGGGATGAAAGCTCGGAGAGTAAGGCAGGGCGAGGGTTCCTTTAAAAGAAGCTGCAGTTCTGTGCTGTCCACAGGCCTTGCTGTGAAAACGGCTGGTACTCGGAAATGTACTAGAAAGGCCTGAGAGGCATGTTTGAATCAACCAAGTCACGGTCCATCCTGGCAGAGACGAAAGTGGCTGTGGCTTCTGTTTGAGTGGCAGGATAGCAGCTGAGCACATAGCAGCCGAGCTTCCCCCACGTAGCTGGTGAGCTGGGAGAAGTGAAGAGGAAAGTTATCCTGTATCTGCACCAGAAATTTTGCTGAGAATTCCTCTCTTCAAGCAGCTTTCAAAAAAATGCCAAAAAGCCAACTCATGTCTTTATAAGGTTCCACTGTCTCCCAAGATACCAATAAACTGAATTAAATTAGATTTTTATTTCTGTTGGATGAGGCTAACTACAGTTTTTAAGTATGTATCGGTAAGACTGATTTCAGATGACACCACTCCCCCACATGAAGTATGTATGTATTATATAAGTCTCCAGCCATTTGATTTAACATATAAGACTAAATTAGTTGAAAATTTATGTCTACATAAAAACCCATACATGGATGTTTACAGCAACTTTATGCATAATTGCCAAAACTTGGAAGCAATCAAAATGTCCTTCAGTAGGTGAATAGTTAAATAAACTGATACATCCAATGGAATATTCCCCAGGACTGAAAAGAAATGAGCCATCCAGCCGTGAAAAGACATGGAGGAAGCTTAAGTGCATATTACTAAGTGAAAGAAGCCAATTTGAAGAGGCTACGTACTGTGTGATTCCAACTGTATGACATTCTGGAAAAAGCAAAACTGTGGAGCCAGTGAAAAGATCAGTGGCTGCCAGGGATTGGTGGGGAGAGAGGGAGGAGTCGGTGGAGCACAGAGGGTTTTAGGCAGTGGAACTCTTCTGTACGACACCGCGATGGTGGGTACGTGGCGTTAACGTGTGCCCAAACCCACGGAATGTACAGCGCCAGGGTGGAGCCTAATGTAAATACAGACTTGGGGTGATAAGGGCGCATCAGTGTGCGTTCATCATTTGTAACAACTGTACCACTCTGAGGGGGATGTGGACAGTGGGGGAGGCTGTGCAGGGGGGTGGGGCAGGATGTATATGGGAACTCTATTTTCCACTCAGTTTTGCTGTGAACCTAAACTTTAAAAAATAAAGACTATTTTTTAAAAATGTCATGAGAAAGATTTGTTAACCTGAGAAAATATTTACAATATTGTTAATTTCTAATAATTATTAGAACAATTTCTAATCTTTTTTATTGTTTTTCTCCGCCACTGGACTTCATCTGCTTTGTTCACGACTATATGCCTACTTCCTAGTCCAGTGCCTGGCGTATAATAAAAACAGCAACAGAAGTAGCTCAGCACTGAAATAGTGTATTTAATGATGTGTCGGGACTTCTCTAAGTGCTTTGCACGTATTAACTCATTTAGACTTTGCAACAACCCTTTGAAGTAAGTACTTACTCCAAGTTTACAAGTAAAGAAAGTAAGGCACAGGAGGCCAAGCGACTTGCCTAAATGTGCAGGGCTGGGAAGTGGTCGAAATGGAATTTAAACCCCGACCATGTGGCTCCAGAGTTTTTGCTCTTCACCGCTAACTTATATCACCTTTCCTTAGAAGGTAATCAAAAAATATTTGTTGATTGAGTGGGTGAATGAATGTGAGTGAATGGATGAAATGAAAATCTACTTTTATTCTATAGTATGATTAGTCTGTTTTTATTTTTAAAACGTACTTGTGCGAAATACCCAACCATCCATCCATAGTAACACAGACGATAAATTATAGTAAAGTCACACAGTGGAATATGATACAGCAGTGAGGAAAATGAGCTACGGCTACGTGTAATAGTGTGTATTATTCTCATAAGCATAATGTCGAGCCAAAGTAGCCAGACCCTACAGGGTACACACTGTACTATTCCATTTATACAAGGACAAGATGGGCAAAAGTAGCCTGTGCTGTTAGAATGACGGGAACCCTCGGGGGCAGTGACCAGAAGGGCGCTAAGGGGGCTCCTAGAAACTGGGAGTGTTCTCTCCCTTCATCTGGTGCTGGTTACAGAGGTGTGTTCAATTTCTAAAAGTTTTATATGTGCAGTTTTTTGGTAGGTAAACTCTATGTTATTTAATAAATAGCTTTTTAAATGGCTAAGACAGAAAAAAGGATCAAAAAGAGGAATAACAGGATGAAAGTATATTTGCCAAAATGTTAACTGTAGATATTTTTTGGAAACAGTGCTACAGGTAGTTTTCAGTTTTGTTTTTGTTTTTTTTTTTTGAAGGTTCTTAGGTTTTCCAGATGTGCTAAGATTGTCACATAATTGCCTATATGATATTTCTAAAATACGATTAAAATAAACTCACCCAGAACCAGTGCCTGCTCCCACTCAGCGTGGGGCGCGGCGTGTGGGTGCCGTCCCTGATGGGTGAAAACAAGCATCACCCTGTCGGCTGCCTGGCTCGCCCTCCCGACGGCAGTCCATGGCCTTGCCAGCCTTCTAGGAAGTCTTCAGGGATCTCTAATCAGTGTGTTGTGGGTTTCCCATGCGCTCGTTTCCTCTGCCAGGCTGAGCAATCGAAAGAAGAGCAGAAGCAAGGTTTGAGTGTGGAGAAGTTGATGCGGCAGGCCTCCAAGGACGTGTGTCGGCTTCGGGAGCAGAGCCGGAAGGTGCCTCGGCAGGTGCAGTCCTTCAGGTACGCAGCCCCGCCCCAGGACAGCTTTCGGGTTGTCCTCGTGTCGTCTCATTATGTAGGAGTTCACCTCGATGCAGTGAAAGTTAATGTTAGGATATGAGACGGAAATCCTGTGTTCTCCAGCTTAGATATATAATTTCCGTTTGCTCCTTCCCGAGGTTACAATCTTGACTGGCCGAGCCGAAGCCCGATTAAAGCCTGGCTCCCCAAGAACCCAGGCTGCCTCCAGCTCTTAGTAGCCGTTAGCGCATCTCACTGAGAGCTCTTGCCACACGATACAGAAGAGTGCAGAGAAGCCATGTAGCTTTGGGTTTTGTTCACTCATCTTACAGACATTCCTCAGGCACCCCACAAGCCTGGCGCCGTGCTGGGCCCCGAGCTACGGAGACGAGGAGCATGTGCTTTCTGCTGTGCTGAGGGCCCACTCTGCAGGCGGGAAGCGGGGATCCACGTGGAAAGAGCTGCCTGGAGCTATGAGTAGGCACCTGTGAGAGGGTGCAGGGACAGCCCCTGGGGCTGTAGGCACTAGCAGGAGAAGATAGGAAAAGAGGCAGCGTTTGAACCCATCGTGGAAGGCTGCCTGCGAGTTCTTCAGGCCCTAGGGACAGCAGTTTTGGGTAGGGCATCGAGGCAGGAGGACACACTGCCAGGCGCGGTGCCTTAGTGGTCAGTGCCAGGTTACACGCGCATGGTGGGCTGCCAGCGAGAGCCTATCAGGGAGAGCTGGGCTCAGACCACACGGCTTTGGGTGCTGTGTGGAAGGTTGTCATCTGTGGCTTCAGATGGTGAGGGAGCCAGCAGGGGTCTCCGAGCTGAAAGCAAACGATGGGATTGGATCATGCTTGGGGCAGATACTAGAGGCGTGGAGAGCTGGCCGGGAAGAAACTGGTAAGCGTGGCCAGCTGGGGCCCCGCGAGTGGCAGGAGGGGCGGCAAGAAGAGTGCCCTGGGGTTCCAAGCGCAGGGTGGGGACGGCTGAGAGCGGGGCAGGTGTGGGCAGGGTACCCAGCTCCGCTTTGGCACATACCAGGTCCTGGCAGTAGGACAGCCAGGTCACTATGGCCAGCAGACAAGTGGAAGTGAAACTCTAAAGCCAGGGTTAAGGGTCAGGACAAAGGTAAAAACTGGGAGTGTCGTCCTCGCTGTGGCAGTCTCGTCAATGGAAATGGGCCGGACATCCCAGAAAATGTGGAACTTGGAAAGGAGGCCTGGCGGACACCAGCCGTGGGAGGACTAAGGACTCAGCACAAAAGATGCTAAGAAGGAGCCACCCGGGGGATGGGAGCAGCCGGGAGAGCCGCTGCCCCTGGGGCTGCAGAGTGGGTGACCTGTGAGACACGGCGTAAATGGCAAGGATTGGAAAGTATTCCCAGTTGGGTGGTCAGGAGGCCACGGTGACCGCAGGGACAGTTCGAGTCCAGGCAGAAGAAGGTCGGAGAAGGGCTTGGTTTATTGGTGATTCGTTTCTGGTTTGGCGGGTGCAGAGGGGTCTTTGAGAAGCTCTTGTGCAGCAGGCAGCAGGAGCCCCGGAAGGGCATGTGTGCAGTGTGGGGGCCGCGGGGCCACCTGGTGAGCTCACGCCGGTGTATTTTTATTTTTATGGGACATTTTATAGTAAAGAATTCAGTTTTTCCTGCTTTTATCTTGCTAAAGAATCGCTTTTGTAACTTTTAGGGAGTACCGCTCTTGGGTTTTTCAACCTGCAGGGCAAGGGAGTCCTGCCATGGTCACGTTGCAAGTGACGCGGAGAATCTCGCAACTCCCGGTTGTTGCTAAAACTCGAAACAAAGAATTCATGAACACGCCAGGCTTCCCTTAAGATACCCATGATATCCCCGGGCAGGTGATGCATGAGTGGGATAGAGTGCGATGAGACGGGCTGTCTGCGCGCCAGGCTGGGCGGGTCACGCTCACGTGACCGGCCACCCGGGTGGGGACAGGTGAGGACAGGTTGCGTGGCGGGCCTGGGAGCTTTCCCCGATGCGCAGGGGTGGCACCGCCCCAGCTGCTTGCCTCACCTGGAATCAGGAGCCCAGTGTTCCCTAACCTTTGGATTTTTCCAGAGAAGTTAGAAATCAAGAATTTTATGTCAAACATCTCAGATGTAGGCACAGGAAACGGATTCAGGAATTTTTAAACACCCCAGTTTTCCACTGTGCCTAAGGCATCCACTGACATCATGCCCATGCTCTTGTCTTGTTAAACTCTTATTCTCTCTTATGCAATTGAATAAATTTAAAGGACGCTATCCCACAAAAATAGCTCTCATTCCAACGTGCACAATATTTTTACCCTTTCTTTCCTTCTGCCTCTTTTCCTCAGTCTCCAGAACATCCCTCCTCAGTCTCGTTTCTCACCCTGTGCCTCCTCCTCCGTGTACACCTTCACTTCGCAAGGGCGGCCGGTGCTTTTGTATTCTTCCCCGCTACCCGCGCCCTCGTAGGCCCTCGGCAGACACGTGGCGATGGAATTCTCTGTGTGATGTGAAACTGGATTCTATTGTGAAAGACAGACTTGCTGCTTGCTTGCCTTTGGTACCTACTCAGTCCTAAAATCTTACTGTTTAAACCACTCTCTTAACCCCAAATCCATTCTGCTTTGTCTTTCTCAGCTTTTCCCTGTTGGGTTGTTTCCACATTTCCCTGCTTTGAGATACAGAACAGTTTTTACCTGTCAGGCAGCCGAGTCCCTCCTCCTCCCTGCATCTGAGACACGGTGTCACTCATCAGGCTGTCCCCGACTCAGCGTGGTATTGATTTTAAAGAATTTCCCCGGCATCGTGTACTTTTCTGTGAGGTCACTGAGAAGTTTCCATGCAGGATTTTGAATCCTCTGCTACCTGGTTTAGAAACACCCATACCTAGATCAAACCTGTAATGGCTTAAAAACCATCTCATGTTGGAAATGCCGGAAGGGGACTTACTTGGTCTGTAGGCGATTCACGGTGAGCCAGAGCTGCTGTCTCCTTCACAGCCCACCGTTAACAGCAAGGACGATCTTGGTTTCACATGGAGTCCTACCTAAGGAAAAGATCTCTTATCCGGGCTTGTGGAGACACCACTGCAGTTCTTAGAGACTGTGTTCATGGTCGGAGTATTTTCAACGTCATATTTAGGTTGGTTTATTTCTCACCCCCGACCCTAGGGAGAAGATCGCCTACTTCACCAGAGCGAAGATCAGCATCCCGTCCCTGCCGGCTGACGACGTGTGATTACCTGGTTTAAGAAATTGTTTCTTCACCTGTTCACTTTCTTAGGGCGAAAGACCTAAACATTTGTTTTTTTGTTTTGTTCGGGTTTTTGGGTTTTTTTGTAACATAACTGTCAACTCTCGAACTTTTATTTCACATCAGATTTTCAACATGTTAATTTGTAAAGTACTTTGAATGTAATTCTTATATGCTTAAAGAAGAAAAAAAATCAGATAACAAAAATGGGATAATCTGGTGCACAAATGCTGTACAGTATGTGTCTGTTGCCAAGGGGCTTTATTTTGTAAAAATGGAATAGAGGCCGTACCCGGTGTGCATCCTATTGAGCTGACTGTTGAGGAAAAACTCCATTCAGCAGAAGGTGGATTTTGCTCTTCCTTTGTTTTCTTGTGAGTGGACTGTGAAGATGGCAACAGTGCCGTGTGATGTTTTTGTGCTAGAGAGCAGCTCTTTCGGTTTGAAGTTACACGTGAGTATAAGCTTGAGTGCAGAGTTCCAAGTCCCTCTGAAACAGGTGCTGTGTTCATTTCCATCGCCGATGTTGGAACACTTTGTTTCCTTAAAACAATTTCCTCTTTGTCCTTTTGTATTTGTCTAAAGAAAACTAAAATATAAAATACTGAGTGTATTCTATATAAGAATACAAAGGAGCAGTACTTCTGGCTACACTAAAGATCTTGCGATTCATGACACTGGGAGTAAGGGAGAAGGAAGGAGAACACCACTTACCCTAAAATACACTAAATCGAACTCATCGGATGAGCAGCTGGTTCATCTAACTCAGCCTGAATTTGCATGTGTTCAAATGGGAGTTTCTGGCTGGCACCAGTGCTGTGTCGTAGATACGAGGATGGTGCCAAGTGGGGCCCGTGTTCTGAGGACAGACAGCGTGGGGATGTGGAGGGAGACGGGTCAGCACTCGTTTGGTGAGACCGAAGGCAGAGGAAAGGGTGTCTTGATTGAATTGAAGTTGTCAAAAATAAAAAAATAGTTTATCAAACAGATTTTTAACATTTACTAGAAATTACTTTGCAGCTCTCATTTTTAGGGGCTCTATCTATAATTTATGGTAAACAGTTGGGAGACAAAGGGAAGAGTGTGCCTGGGGAGATTATTAATTTGAAGTATAGGCTAAATCATTTGTTTAAAAAAACTGTTCTGAATGTGCAAGTTTAGACAGATGAATTGACTAACTCGTCCTCCAGTTTAGGGTTTTACCTTACCCAAACCAGGCACTTCTCAAAAAAATAAATAAATAAACCCTCAGTGTAGCTCTGCCAGCATAAAGGGTTTTAAAATACATAGTATGTAGGCAATTTAAAACATACTTATTACATAGTCTGTTATACTGGAAGAAGCAATTTTTGGTTAGCCATCATATAGAGCAAACTAAATCAATTTTTTTTTTTTTTTTAGAAATGCAAAATTGTCTTAAAGGAATTGGCCCCTTAAAGAAAAAAAAAAGTTTTGTTCCTAAGCTAGAATCCTCACTAATAAGAATTTTTATTTTCTTGAAAGTAATTATACATAGTCTGGAAAGTTCATTTTATCAGAATCAAAGGTCAAATTAAGCAATTTCTGAGCCTAGAACTTTAGTTATTTTTTCCTAAATGTCCCACCACTTATATACAAATTTCTTTGAAGACATAACTGGACATGACATTACTTTGAACAAAAACCAGCCTAGTGAATGACTTAGTACAGTCCCTCAAGGCTGCCCAGGTCATTCCATCAGATCTAAGGAAAACGAGAAAAAGAATACCATTCATCCTTATTGAGGTCAAATGTGAAAGAAGTTTATTTAATGTAGAGGTAAATGAAGGTCAGCTGTTTTCAGCTTCTTAGTTTGACCATGAAAATGTTTATAGAATTATGTGTAGTTGTACCGTACGATTTTATTTTCTTCATTTATTTATTTACGGTCTTATTTATGTTCTGTTTAATATATAGTTTGGTTCTGGCCATTTTAAATGTTTGGCATAGAAGAGGCTATATTGGAATATTTACAGCTTTATAAATCTTCATCAGATTAGCTGTTAACTTTTTGTAATACAAAAAGTTTCAGACAAGTATTAAAGAATAAAATCTGTCTCAGGCTGGTAGTTAACAGTTGTGACCAAGATGTTTTTGGTTTTATTTTACAAAATTTGCTCATTTCTAACATGAAAGACAAACTTATTTTAAATATTCCTTTTTCCACACTTTAAAAATCAGCAATAGTGTTATGTATTTATAGGCAGCTTTTAATAATCTTGTCATATTTGTACTAACCCAAATGATTCACAGTGACAAAACATTTTAATAACTTGATCACAAAACCATATGGACAAATATGAATTTTAATATTATAAATACTATTTTTAAAAAGTAGACTTTATTCTGCACAGGGTAAAAAGAATGTAATATTTAGTTCTCAAGTTTGACTTATCAGTATATTATTACAGTTTTGTATATCAGAATCTTAAGTGTTACAGGTACAAAAAGAATATTGCTAGCCAAATGAACAAAGTTTAGCTGAATCTCTGTAGCATGCAAATCAAATAAATTTAAAATCTTTTTTTTTGCTATTGCTTTATATTATATTAAATATCAAAAGCTCAGGACTGAACTAAATATTTAATCAGGTTAAATTTTGACTATGTTTCTGTTTTAATTTGTCTTGTTTGTAAAAGTATGCAAATACATCACATAGATTAACTTTGGTTTCTGCACTTTCCATGTGTTTGTGGGTGGAAAAAAATTCAGTGTTTTTTTTTTTCTAAAACAAAGATACATATTGCCTAATACTTTATTTCAGTGTCGTTTATTGTTCAGTTAATTTCCCTGATTGGCGCAACACGAGAGTTTACTTGAACCGTGTACCAGGCAAATATAAAATCCTTCATGAAGAAATCCCCAAGCCAGCAGTTTGTTGTGAATAGTTCTTGTTTGGATTATATGTACTGCTGATAAAAAAGGATGAAATATTTTCATTGTGCAAGTAGAACGAAGGGCGCCAGACTGTGCGCTCTGTCACGGCACTGCCAAAGCTGGCAGTGTGCTCAAGGAAGGCTGCAGTCCCAGGAGGCTCCCTCCCCACGCTGCCGGGCCCCTGGGCTGCGCAGAGCCAGGGCGGGTGGACGTGTGTGCCGTCAGATCCAGAGCACAGGACACAGAAGCAGAAGCACATTTGTGTGGCAGATTCTACAGGAATCATCCAGAGCGTGAGATTGCCCTCCTCTGCCTCTGACATGGTGAAGAAGGCATGAGTGCACGTGGCTGACTTTTAGAAAAGGCTCCACAGAGGCACCGAGTGCTGCGATTGAGGAGATGATGTGCCCCATGTCTCACCTCTAAAGCTGTTAAAGAGCCAGCAGTCTTTCTAGATAATTTGCATTTTAAATAAGTATGCAACAAGATCTTAGTTTTATTATAACAGATTATCTTAAACACCTGAAAGAAGTAAATGATTTCCAAAATGATTCATCTCCATATGAATGATACCTTCAAAGATACAGAAGGACTAATGTTTCATTTATCAGTTCTGTGCAATCACTGAGCCTATTTTAAAATTGGGGAAACTCATCCACAGTAATGAGTGTGATTACTATTAAGTCTTGATTGGTTTTGGTCTCAGAGTAGAAGATAAAAGTGGTTTGCCAGTCTTAGAAGTTATAGTTTAAGAAACTAATAACCACAGGCAGGACAAAATGCATTTCAGAAAATCAAAAGCATAGTAAATGGATGACTGGAGCGGGAAATCCTACCAAATCCACCGTTGAGCAAGCGTCTCCTGAAGAGTGGATGCCACTGGTCCCTCTGGCTTAGGTTTTCAGGTTGGTGCTTTTCATCTCCAGTTTTTGACAATGATCTCTCATCTCTGCCACTGCATAGTGGCCCGAAGCTAGAGGAGCTCGGCTGGAGCAGGCTGCACAGTGGAGCAGACACCCTCCTAGTAGAAGAAAACATCCAGCAAACCAGCCCACAAAGAGGGCTTCCCCAAACTCCCACCTGGGGACTATCTCTGGCACGGCCTCATCCCAGAACTCCTGAACCGTCATGTAGGCGACCCAAGACACAGGAGCCAGGGCCGTGATTCCCGATGTCCAGAACAGAACTCCTCCCAGGATTAACAGTCGCTTCTTGAGATCCTGCCGTCTCTCTCCAATCTTCAGGCAGTCCAGGCCAAATCCAGAGAGCAGCAGGCCCAGAAATCCCAGCCCATTGGACAGAAACATTAAAATCCTGGAGATCCTGAGTTCAGCAGGCAAAGCCAGGAAAGAATCAAAGTCCTTGCACTGTGTCCCCACTTCCTCTTGGATGACACAGGTTTGCCAGAGTCCCATGGTCCAGTTTTCCATTTCATTTAATTCCAGGTTGAGGTTCTTCCAGTGTGGCAGGTAGTTTGTAAGACAGGATAAAACCCATCCCAGCAAAGATAATGAAATTCCGGCTAATTGTGCCACAGTTCTAAATACTAAAGCCATTATAAAGTCCTGCGAGCTTTAGCCAAGCTAACTCCTGCCCTTCGGTGGCCCTGAAAAGAAGTGTGACATTTGTGTTATCACCTGTGAAGCTCAGGAATATTTTTTCATTGTGTATATAGGAGGATTCTTGCCAGAGTTGCTATTGTTTGATTCCATGTTGAACAGGTTTCAGAAAAGGATAGGGAAATAAGGCCATAAACCAGTAATGCCAAGGTGTGGCCAAGATCATGTTCGTGTCCTTTGGGCTGAATTTTGTAGAAAGCAGTTTGTCACTGAAACGAAATTAAGTAGTAACAATCTTCCTTTCACTGTTAAGGCATAAATGGCTTTCATGTCGTTCCCAACCTATTTAACAAGTCAAAGAATTAAGAAGTCTAAAAGCAAGATGTTTAATTGATTGTTTTGCTCCAGCTCCTCCTGCTTTATATCTTACTAATTACACCTGTCAGATTTTCATGTTACAGTCCTCTCAGTTCCTATGCTGTGGTAATACTGGGTGTTGTCATTTTTCAAAATAGGTCCAAGAAAAGTATTTCTCAACCAAATAAATTGATCTTATCAGAAATCTCTCTAGGCCTTAAATCAGGCCTGTTAAGAAATCCCTTTGGCTACACATACCACATAGCATACGAAACAATACTGAACTAAATATCGAGTCTACTTATCTGCGTGCCTTTCTGTCAAATTCATGCCCATGTGCGTAAACACTTGGGTTTGTTTTTTTCCTCTGCTTAAATACGGTTTCTATGCTATGGAAAATTTACGCAGTAGGACACCGTAGGGTAGAATCAACATCTCTGTTTGTCACTAAAGTACATATCCCCATGTTATTTTTAATTGAATAAAGGAAAGTTTTGATTCAGGCAAATGAACTGACAATATCTAGATATCAAGAAAAATATCTTTGGAATTGTTTTTCTTTTTTTAACGCGAAGCTTTTGAGGAAGAGATGAGAGAAGAGATCGGCCAGTATTTTAAATCTGAGAGTATCACAACGTACTGAAAACCTTCGCCTCATAAAATCCTGTCACACAAGGTGCCTAGTAATTTCCTAAACACAAACCACTTCTGTTTGAAGAAGACCAAAGTCATTGCTGTGGAACTAACACTTTGGAGTTGGCTGATCCTGTGGTTTTACTAATGTAGAACACTTAAAAGATTTCAGATTGTTAGGTTTTTTTTTTTTCCTTTAGGAAACAGAAACTAATTGTTTCCTACTACCAACAAAAACAAACAAAAAGCTTTCTAATATAAAATTAATGCCTCAAAGCTTAAGACTGACTATATTGGGCAGCCACCACCACATAATGATTTAAATAACCAGGTCAATGAAAGTTTTTCACTCATAACTATGTAATGCTTACGTTAAGAATTTTAGATAAAAGATTTTCTCTCATACTTTTCCAGATTTTAAGTGGAAGCAGGTCTAGTATAGAAAAAGTTATTGAGTGAGAAAATGTGAGCAGCACAGATTTCATTATGTAACAAAGACCTCTTTGTCGTCACAGTTGATGTAGGATACATCTCTCTGGCCTTGTCAAAGTCTCACACTTTAGGATCTGCGGTTCCGTTTTCCAGGTATGGACACTGAATTTGCATCTCTGCCACTGCATAGTGGCCCGAAGCTAGAGGAGCTCGGCTGGAGCAGGCTGCACAGTGGAGCAGACACCCTCCTAGTAGAAGAAAACATCCAGCAAACCAGCCCACAAAGAGGGCTTCCCCAAACTCCCACCTGGGGACTATCTCTGGCACGGCCTCATCCCAGAACTCCTGAACCGTCATGTAGGCGACCCAAGACACAGGAGCCAGGGCCGTGATTCCCGATGTCCAGAACAGAACTCCTCCCAGGATTAACAGTCGCTTCTTGAGATCCTGCCGTCTCTCTCCAATCTTCAGGCAGTCCAGGCCAAATCCAGAGAGCAGCAGGCCCAGAAATCCCAGCCCATTGGACAGAAACATTAAAATCCTGGAGATCCTGAGTTCAGCAGGCAAAGCCAGGAAAGAATCAAAGTCCTTGCACTGTGTCCCCACTTCCTCTTGGATGACACAGGTTTGCCAGAGTCCCATGGTCCAGTTTTCCATTTCATTTAATTCCAGGTTGAGGTTCTTCCAGTGTGGCAAATAAGTTGTAATAATAGATAAGACCCATCCCAGCAAAGATAATAAAAGTCCAACAGACTGCATCGCTCTTCTGAAGAGTAAAGCCATTGTGACAAATCTTAGGATGTCACCACCCCTATAGGATCTGCAGTCCTTTGTGGTTGACAGTGGTGTGACGATTGGTTCTATGCTGCCTGGAATATAAGCTTGGGCATTAACTCTTTAGGGACTCTGAAATGCGTTTTTGTTCTTCTCGAATATAATGTTTCATGTAAAGGACGAAGGACTCTGTTAAAACTATGAGTTAGGCTCTCTGATAAGGATTTGATCTGTTACCTTCCAATTTGCTTGGTAAAATTATATCCTCAATGCTTGATGATTATAAGTCTAAGGATGAACAAAGAGGTCTCTATGACCCCTCACCCTAAAACACAACAGAAATCTTTGTGCTTCAATATGGATTAATTAGATTTTAAGTGGTGATAAAAGGCCAGCTCTTTCTACAACAGGACTTCATTGTAATAGCTGAATCTGAGATTTCAGGGATGCGAAACAAGGCCTGGTAAAGAAAGGTAGACTGTTTCCCTATAATCTTCATTTTCTCAGACTTCCCTAACCTACACAGGAGCCTGGCCCACGTTCTTGAGTGTCACAGGGACTCAGTTGGGACTTTGCAGAAAGGTTTCCCTCAGATCCCTTTGAAAGGTAGAGACTGGTCCACTGGGCTAATTAAAATGAAGAGGACCACGGCCGATGCCCAGAGGTCTAAGTGAGGAAGGCAGCATCCAGGGAGGTCCGCGCTTTCACTCTGCGATCTTCCCCAGCCTCCCTAAGGACTTGGCGTGAAGCACGGTGTCTCGGCATCCAGGGAAGTGTTTTTTTGTCCAGAGTCGAGCCGTCCTCATGGTCATGGGCATTTCAGCCACGTAGGCAGAGCGGCACCAGGCATCAAGACTCCTGTCGGTTCCAAGACAAACAAGAGCCACAGTGGGGCTGACCTTTGGGGCTTTGTCTTGTTTGTTTTTTTTTTTTTTGGTTTAGGGGCCACGCCTTGAGAGCACACATGTGCAGAACATGACCCCTGAGACTACAGGGCCTCACAGGCCGGGACAAGAGGCCACATGAGAGGGGTGGTACTTTCTTCAGCTTTTCCCATCCTCTTATGTTTAAAAAAAAAAAAGTTTGCCACCTGGTGAATGCTTCCTTGATTTTTGCAAGTTTTCAGAATCCTTCAGGCTATATCGTTGTCCTCAGTGTGCTGGAATCAGGTATGCCAGTGTGCATAAAGATGCCCGAGGCCGGAAGGGCCAGAGGTTTGTCCCGGCTCCTCAGCAGGAAGCAGGATGGCGCAAGCTAGCCCTGTCCCCCGGGGGCAGTTGGGATGCTGAGAGACCCAGACAGCAGTCATAAAAACCACAGGGAGATGCTTGCCAATGTCACACTGAAATGCTTTTTAAGAATGGGAGAGAGTGGGCTGCTCTGTGAAGCAGCGAGTGCTCTGTCCTGCAGGGGAATTACCACCTGCCCAGGTCCTCACGTAGGAAATTCCTGCTGCGGTGGGAGCTGCACCTGCCTAACTGTCTCCGAGCACCCTCCCAACTCATATGTTCTTTCAGCCTTTAAGAAAAATATTTTTTGAGCACCTCCTACTTGACCAGGCAGTAATTGCTGCCTCCCCTCTCCCTGCCGGTGGGGCTCAAATTCCAGTGGGAAGCGGCCATCAGTAAACAAACAGATAAATGAGAGAATTCAAAGAAGTGAAAAGAGCGGGGCTGTGAGTGTCCCAGGCAGAGGGCCCCTGCAGCGGCCCTGAGGCTGAGCCTGCTTGGGGAGAGGCAGCAGCCACTACCCATCTGGGAAGGGCTCCCCTCTCCACGGTTCAGTTCGTGGATGAGCTGCTCAGACCCTGTTGCTCCGGGTGGGGTGGAGTGAAATTCAGCCAGAAGACAAATACCACCACCACCGCCGCCTTGTTCAGCACGTGGAGGACTTACAATCTCTCCGTCTCAGGGTCATTCATCTAAAACACGCGCACACATGTCTCATAGACAGAACTGGTAGAAGGTTAGGGCGGCCAACCGTCCCAGTCTGCCTGGGGCTGTCACAATTTCAGCGCTGAAAGTCACACATCCTGAGAAACCCCTTGGTCCAGGGCAAGGGTTTAGAAATGTCCCGTAATAAACCATCCTCAAACTTGTCACTTACAGCAACATTGCATAGTCATTTCTACGCACTTTGCTCACGCATCTGCAGCTTGGGTGAGACTTGGTAGGGACGACGTGTCTCTGCTCCAAGTGGCGTCAGCTCAAGGGAGGGCTGGAGGATCCATTTCCATGGCGGCTGTGCGCAGGAGCTCAGTCCCTTTGCATCACTAAGATACAGAAGCCACACAGACCAGGCCACCTGAAGCTGAACCGTGGCCTGACTGCTCCTGGAGGCAGCTGGCCCGACGCAGCAGCCGGCACCGGGGCCCTGAGCCCTGCTGCAGGGACAGGGACACAGGAAGAGAGGAGTTCAGGGGTTCTTTGCAAGCTTTAGATTCTAAAGTCAGGGCAGAGGAACAAATCCCCTATTGTCAAAATTACCCTTAAAAAACCCCTTAAGCGATAGAGATCCATGCCTGTCTCCACCTGAGCCCAGCGCCCCTGGCGTCTCCTTCGGCAATGGGCTATGGCCCAGGCTACCCTAGTTCATACGTTGGACCCTCAATCCCAACACCACAGTGTTGGGAGGTGGGGCCTGATTAAGAGGTGATAGGTCGTGAGGACTCTGCCCTCATGAATGGATTAATGTCGTTATCATGCAGGTGAGCTTGTTTTTCTTAGTAATTCTCACCCTCCTAAATAGTGCTTCACACCATTACTCCTTTACTTCACAACCCCCTGTATCTACTATGTATGCAGCAAATACTTGTCTAATAAATGGATTGGAAGTATCCTTCTA